CCTATGGTAAAAAGTAGGACTTTAAAACCCAATTCAAAGCATACTTTAAGTCCATATTCGATTTTTATTGCGGTCTCACAACTATAACAATAAGAGAAACTAAAGTAATTATTTTTGCACAAATTATCACAAGTGCTCTGTCAGAGTCTCTTGGTCACCTTTTTAGGCAATTCACTACCTTCGACTCCATAGTGATCAGGATTCATTATGAGATATAGTTCATTATATTTGTCAACGTTCTATTCAGTGGTAATCTTTAAAAAACTTAAGGGGTTAGTACAAGCTTTAAGTGTGGCACAATTGTTACTGCAGAAGCCGATCTAGTTTCATTATATTAACTCTTTGAAACAGCAGTTTTAAGTGTTAGGCCAGACAAGTTGTACCTATTCTTCGACGTGTAAACATATTTAGCGCTTTAGACGTTGCGTTTCGATTTCTTCTCTGAAAGTGTAAATTTTCTTCAATCATAAAATTTAAGATACAGTGGGATCAGTTTAAGAGTTTGCATTTGCTTTACATATTGATAACTATTTAAATTTTAAGTTTCTTTTAAATAATATTTTTTGGTGAATTAAATTTAAATTTTATGTATTAAAAATATTTGAAATAAATGACACAATTCACTTTTGGGGAATTTTCTGTCATTTTATGTGACAAAAGACACACTTGACGGACGGCAGCGCCTGTAAAGATTATTTCATGGCGAAATTTATTCTTAAATTTTTATTGAGCATCAAGCAGACACATAAAAAGCTAACAGAAGAGAGCTTATTGTAATTTAATTAATCATAAATATTATATTTGGCGAAATTCCAAAAATACACTTCATGCGTTAAATGAAAATCAAAAAGATTTGAAAATTAGTAAAATAAATCTCTAAAAAAATAAAAGATTCTAAATTGATTTTTCATTGCGTAAAAACTTTTATGGCATAATTAGTTTCTGTGTAGTTTTCCCATTTTAGATATATAGCAAATCTAGGCTAATATTGATAAAGTGATTTTGTTGGTATATTTGCCAAGATTTTTATTCAATTTTTAAAAATGAATTCAATTACAAATGCAATCATTTGTCATTTACTTAATAAAATAAGTAAATAATATACTGAAACAATTATTGAATATTATGTGAATAAAGTACAATCTATCTAAATATCAATTTCTAGTTATAGCAGGAAAAATATGGAAGAGGGAAGGATAAAGATTACTGTAGTCACTGCTATATACAAGGCAATTCTCCCGTTTTTCAATAACATTGAAAAGCATCTTTCATCGGAATTAGTAGACAATGCTGTAGAGATATTCCAGGATGTAAACAGGAAGATTGATAAGTTAATAACACTTACCTCCAAGATTGAGCAGTATTAAGCAATGACAAGAACATAAATCTGGCAAAAGTATTAAAGAAAAAGAAAAATTTACCTTTACTGACCTAACGTCTAATTAGACATTGCTGTTAAAGATAACTGTTAAGAATTAAATCGGAAAACTGTTCAAGTAGTATAATCTATATTTTCGTGAACTGACAACCAATAGTTTTATAAAAGTTTCGTACTGTCTATAATACTAAAACTAATTTTAAATTAGAAATAGAATTAGAAATATCTTAAAGTAATGTAAATTTTTATTGCAATAATGTGCCCATCATAGTATTGTGAATAAAGAGTACACTATATGTATTATTATATTGTATTTCCATCAAAATAGAAGAAACCAGTCTGTCTGCCTAAAATGTATTAGTCTATTAATCTATTTATTTATTAAGAGCATGTTATTAACTTATATGCGTTAAGTTTAACGCGGACCTGTTCTTCTAAATGAAATACGAGTATCTCTAATTATTCATTTTAGTGCCTATTTGTTCTTGAATTGTTTGACGTGTTTTATGGATTTACTAACAATTGAAAAAGCCCTCTTAGACATACTTAACTGCAATCCAATAGTTTAAATCGTAAAAAATTTTGGACTTTGCACTTGAACTGCCATTTTCCTTTAAATAGGTGCTCAATTATGTTTTCTAAAATATGTTTTTTTTTACTAAAATTCATTAAAGTACCCGTACTCATAAATGGAAAAATAAATTACGTGAAAATATTGCTCAATTAAACCAAACCAACTTGAAAATGGGCGCGTCTTTAAAATTGCTTGTTAAATTATTTTAAGAAGTTCTTAACTTACTGCTCCTCCCCTGTTTATGTTTATGTTTATGTTTATGGTTACGTTTGTGTGTCTGTGTGTGCTTCTTGCGAGTAGAACTTTTAGTTTGTGCTTATCTGCATATAAATTAATTTGGTCTAACTTAACCCACCTTCAGCACCAATTACTCGTGGTGCATTTGCCTCTCTTTCTTGTTCATGAAGTCACTGGTGCACAGTTTTCCAAGTTGGCCATGTTCGTCCATGTCCAGTTCTCCTCTCTAATTTATGAACAATTTTTGCAAGAAACATAAAACATTTTTGCTTAGTGTGAAATTATTAATTATTTTAAAAACCTTTGTCTTTGTCTTTGTCGTCGTCGTACTCGCCTAGGCGATAATTTATGCCAAAAGGTTCACTGGTTTGGGTGGAGAAAAAGTCATCATTTGAATAATGTTTTCACTTTTCGCAATGTTTCCATTATTTACGATTAGAATGAAAAATTTTGATGGTTGGATTACAAAAATTCTGAGCATATATCATCGAGCCCATATGCGCACTTTATGATATTAATTTTCCGCTGACTTTTTAAATGAGTTTCAGGAAATATGTTCCTTCATACGATTTATGTAGATAAAGTTTGAGTTAATATGCCCGTACATACATACTAAATATTATGTTTCTTTCTTTCAAA